GAGAGGACAGTGCTACAGGTATTATAATGGATTATTCATGCCATGCTGGATTCAACCAGGCCAAATTTACTATTCTGGGCTAAGACTCTGAATGAACTGACATAGCATGTCATTAAGGACCCATGTTGTAGTTATTAACAGTATTTTTTCTTTTTCTTCGACTAGAAACCATTATTCAGCTAATTCACGCTCTCTTGTAATGGTATTTTTTTAGATCCTAATTTTTTAAAGCCATATGGGTAATGCAACTTCTAAAAAAAATTATTTTAAAATAATTTTTTTGTTGTTGGGGGTCATGTCCAGTGGTGCTCATGACCCACTTCTGGCTCTGTGCTCAGGATCACTCCTGGTGGGGCTCAAGGGTCATATGTGATTCCAGGAATTGAATTGGTTAGTCCCCCTACAAAGCAAGTGCCTAACCTTCCGTACTATTACTCCAGTCTATAGAAAGAATTTCTTTATAGTTTATTATCAGTAGCACTGTAGCACTGTCCTCCCATTGTTCATCGATTTGCTTGAGAGGGCCCAGTAACGTCTCCATTGTGAGACTTGTTGTTACTGTGTTTGGCATATCGAATACATCATGAGTAGCTTGCCAGGCTTTGCCGTGGGGGTGAGATACTCTCGGTAGCTTGCTGGGCTCTCCAAGAGGGGGCAATTGAACCCGGCTTGGCCCAGCTGGCTGCGCACAAGGCAAACGCCCTACTGCTATGCTATCGCTCCAGCTTTGTATACTTAGGTAACATACAAATTTCTTTGTTGAAAAGGGGTCATAAGTGCAAACGGGGTAAGAAACCGTGTGCTGAATGAAGAACTTCTGAAAATTCTCTTTCAACTTATTACAAATGGTGACCCTATGAAGGACAAGGATCCAGGAAATCTCATGACAATAAAGAAAGACTATTTCTACTAAATGATGTTTCCCATAGGAGTTAGGAGTGGTAAAGGTACTTCTGCCTTTCAGTAGCTCTTTCAGGACTCATAGACTCTCCCAAATGGATTTCCTAGACTGTTTTAGCTACAAAACTATCAAGACAGTCCTCTATCATCCAAACTTTAAAGGACTTAAGAAGTTGGGGCACACAGCAATGAGATGGAATCCTTTTTCAAAAATATAGCCACTTATTTTTTAAAATTTATATTTGGTTATTGGGTGGTCAAATAAATATTTTTTTCTTTTGGATCATACCCAGAGATGCTCAGGGGTTACTACTGGCTCTGCACTCAGGAATTACTCGTGGTGGTTCTAGGGAGCACATATGGAATGTCAGGGATTGAACTCTCGGTTATGTGCAAGGCAAACACTCTACCCTCTGTACTATCACTTCGGCCTTGGTTAAATTAATTTTTATTATAGTTTTGCGATTATTAGATGGTTATGCTAGTGACAAAGTATATGGTACTGGGGTTGGAGCGATAGCACAGCGGGTAGGGCGTTTGCCTTGCACATACCCAACCCGGGTTTGGTTCCCAGCATCACGTGTGGTACCCCAAGCACCGCCAGGAATAATTCCTGGGTGCTGAGCCAGGAGTAACCCCTGTGCATCGCTGGGTGTGACCCAAAAAGAAAAAAATGTATATGGTATTGATGTACAAAATTACGGCATCCCACCAACACCAAAGTATCTATAAACCTCCATCACTGTCACATTGTCACCTCTAGTCCAGTCATTATTCCCTTCCTCCCCCAGGGTTTGGTATTCAGTAGCGAAATTCAAGATCAAGGGTTTGTCATTTATCACTATTTGATATTGTCTATTCCCTTGTTTTGTCTTATTATATACCACAGATGAGTGAGATTATCTGGTATTTATCCTTCTCCTTTTGTCTTACTTCATTCAGCATGGAATCCTCAAGTTTTATCTATGATTTCATTATTCAGAGCTGCATAGAATTACAGTATGCTCTTAATGCCTCTCCCACTCCTCTTTTTCCCAATCTGTCCTAATTCAAACCCTTTGTAATTCCATATAATTTTTTTTCATCCTTGATCAAATACTCTCAGTGTTAGTTTTTCTCTTTTGGGGGAATGGGAGTTTGAACCACACCCAGTGGTGCTCAGGAGTTACTCCTGGCTCTGTGCTCAGGAATTTCCCGCTGGTGGACTTGAGAGACTATCTGGGGACTGGAGATTAAACCCCAGTTGGCAAATGCCCTATTAACTGTACTATCACCCTTGTTGGCCCCACTGTTACATTTTCTTATCTCATATTCTTCTCTTTTCTTAATCAATTCCTTCTTTGATTTTCCTGCTTTCATTAGCACATGAATTTCTGTAGATGCTCTCACCTTCTCATTATAGGGCTGTAGTGAAACCAGAGTAGGATTTTAATGCTGTGTAGAGGGAGAATATATGAAAAAGGAAAAATTGAACAAGTTAGTATATAGGTATACACTGAAGATATCAAAGATTTGATTCCAGACCACTGCAATAAAATGAGTCACACCTTTTTTTTGTTTCCAAGTATAAAATTATGTTTGTAACATGTTGTAGTCTATTAACTGTGCATGTAAAAATAAGTGTACATGCCTTAATTTAGAAATACTTTTTTATTAAAAATGTTCACTACTGGGGCCAGAGCGATAGCACAGCGAGTAGGGCGTTTGCCTTGCACCAGGCCAACCTGGGTTCAATCCCTGGCATTCCATATGGTCCCCCAAGCACCGCCAGGAGTAATTCCTGAGTGCAGAGCCAGGAATAACTGCTGAGCATCTCTGGGTGTGACCTAAAAAGCAAAAAAAAAAAAATTGTTCACTACCATCTGAACTATCAAAAATAAATTAATATCAGGCTGGTGCTGATAGGCTTGCAGGGTTACCACAAACCTTTCATTTTAACAAGCATAATCTCAGTGAAGTACAATAAAGAGAGTAAAGTAAGTAAAAGTAAAGGCCCTCCCGTTGATCATCGATTTGCTCGAGCGGGCCCAGTAACGTCTCCATTGAAGACTTTGTTGTTACTGTGTTTGGCATATCGTATACGTCACGGGGAGCTTGCCAGGCTCTGCCATGCGGGCGAGATACTCTCGGTAGCTTGCCGGGCTCTCCGAAAGGGGCGGAGGAATCGAACTTGGGTCGGCCATGTTGGCTGTGTGCAAGGCAAACGCCCTACCGCTGTGCTATCACTCTAGCCCAATAAAATAAGATATGCTTATTTGTCAGTACTCCAGCAGTTTTTTTTTATATCCCTGAAAGTGGTTCCTAAAGTGTGTATATCAATAGGTATTTGTTGAAAGGAAGAACTTTATGACCAATATATTTTTTGGTCATAAAGTTATATATATTTAAACAATATTTTCCTAAAAGAAATTCTTCAAGTTTTAATATGACAAAAGGTATTTGAAAACTACCTTTTATTGTACAACTAATAGGCCCCAAATTAGTGACCTAAAACACTAACAAATATTCATTATCACCGAATTTCTGTGGGTCAATAGTCTGGGATTGACTCCTAACTGAGTAGTTCTGACTTGGAACAGTTTCTCATGAGATATCAGTCATGTTGTTGGCAGGACTACATCTCCAAAGACTTGACTGGAGCTGGGAATCTTCCTTCAAGATGGCTGGCTGGCTCATATGGCTGCCAAACTGATCTTGGCTATCAGTAGGGAATTTCAGTTACTTGCCACATGGATATCTTTGTAGGCCTGCTTGTGAGGTCTACCGACGTGGCTATGGCCATGACTCTGCAGGGCAAGGGCCCAAGTGAGCCAGGAGGGAACCGAGCAATCTTTTATGACCTAATCTCAGAAACCACATACCATCATTATTAATTGTACTAACTCCATTTTAATTTGTATGTGTGCCTATGTGTGTGTGTGTGTGTGTGTATGCCTATGTGTGTGTGTGTTGTGTGTGTGTGCATGCACATACACTTGTCTAAATATCAGGAGATGCTTGGGGATCTGTTGGAGCTGGATAACTGATCACAAGGCTTTATGAATCTCCATAACTCATCTGATAATAAAACTATTGTTTAATAAGGCACTCCAAACACGCTGGGATTCCATGATCTTCAGGGCAGGGAAAGCCATCAGGGATGGTCACACTGGGGTGTCTGAGAGACTTACAAATGGAGGGGAAGAAGGGGTTCTGACAAAATAATGCTGGAAAATGAAGCATGACTGTGGAATGAGGGCTTCCGCAGTAGAAGATAGATAAAGCTAAAACTGAATCCCACACCCATTTCACGAAGTCACAGGAAAGTGGACCCCTCAATCGAGAAAGGCTAGCTCAGGACTTCCTGGCCAGTCTAAAACTGTTAGAAAGATTCATACTTCCAACAGTTTATATCTCTGTCCTAAATTAAAGACAGGGTGAAAAAAAGTGGGTCGAAGTTCACAGCGTGAAGACGGGAACTGAAGATGGGAGGAGGCTCAACTCCTCCAAGCTAGGAGCAGCTCTCTTTGGGCTTGCTCCAGCTCTTCCCAGCCAGGGAAACAGACCCCACTGGTCTCTTTCAATTCTACCTGAGGCGATCTGGAAAGGTTTCTGGAACAACTCAGATTCTAGAAGTTCTGATCTCCACTTCATTTGCACAACAACTGGTTTGCAAAGTTCCCAGCCTTGGCTTGGAGCCACGGTGCCTGCAGGAAGTCCTCATACGATGTTTACAGTGACCCTCTTTGCTGTCTTAGGATAGACAAGGAAACAACAAGGTCAAAAGGGCGAGCGAGCGAGCGAGGGCTAGGACTGAGAGCTAGGAAGGGTGAAAGGAGCGACCGAGAGCGGGAGAAAGGGATGGGTGCAGAGAAAGAGGAAGGAAAGCGCAAACCAAAGCCGCCGGGCCACGCTCCCGCAAACGCCCTCGCCTAAGAGAGCGTTCGCAGCCTTTGGCCACCAGGTGGCACCCTTTGAACTTTCTTCCCGCATCAAAATAAGCAAGGACCGGGAGAAAGAGGGGAGGGAAAAAAAGGCAAAGCACTCCCCCAACCAAGAACAATTTGAAAACCCACCCCATAATATTTAAAATCTGGGACAAAGAGCCGTCAGGACGGAACTGCTGCAATTGCAAAAGCTCGAGTTCAGCCTCGGGAGCGGCGGGCCGGCCCGCGTGCCGCAGCAGCCCCTTTAAAAGAGCGGAGTTACAGTATTGGGATCCTTGAAACCTGAAACCTAGAACCCGAACCGAAGCGGAAACCAGAAGGAAAACCTTGAACTCCTCGAGACAATTGCTTCCGGGGAGTTTCGGGAGAACGAGGGGGGATCCGGGGCCCGAGAGGAGGGTCCCGCGGATGGCGCGTCCCTGAGGGTCCTGGCGAGTTCGAGGAGCGTGGGAAGAGAGGACCCGACCCTCTCCCAGGGCTGCAGGTCATGGCCACCGTGGAGCAGAAAGCCCTTGGCATTGGCTTCAAGTGTCTCTCTTTGGCCACTTTTGTGCTCCTCTGCGCGGGACAAGGGGGACGCAGGGAGGAAGGGGGCCCAGCCTGCTACGGGGGATTCGACCTGTACTTCATTTTGGACAAGTAAGTGCCTTGAGGCGTTGCACGCTGGGCTAAACTGAGGATGCTTTTTTTGTGCCCTTCCCCGGGCCGGGCTGGTTGGCGGGGTGGCTTTGGGACAGGCAAGCCTCTCCAGGGACCCGAAGGGAGCAGGGAGCTGCCCGCGGCTGCAGGGCAGCGCAGCGTCTGGGGTTGGCGGGGAACGCGCCTACCGGGTCCCTGGGGCTGCCCGGGAGGCATCGCTGCAAGTCCCGGGGACTGGCTTCTTCTCTGCCCTCGCTTTCTGGGACCTGGGAGCGTGCCCGGGATGCTATGAGCACCTCCTTTCTGATTCTGATTCTGGCTCTGCCTCGAGTCTTTTTAAACCATTTGCTTTTGAAACTTCGGTGAGCCAAACTTGCAGGCACTGCTCAAGAGGCAGCGGGGTGGGATGGGCGGGGGGGGGGGGGGTGCTTTTTATTTTATAGCTCAGCCAATATTCTCTTTGAAACTGAACAAAACCGAGGTCCGACAGATTGCATTGCCTTTGTTCCGAATATCGATGCAAGCTGACTGGACAGTTTATGAAAGCAGAGCGCGGATTTCCCAACCTTGGCACTACTGAGGTTTCTGCTAGGGACTGAATGGGATGTGTGGGGGCGATCCTTTGTTGTGGGCTTGCCCTGTGCAGGGTTAGGGTGTCTAGTGGCACCCTGGCCTCAATCCAGGACCTAGGAGATACCAGTACTAACCCTTCCTATGCGCCCGGTCCGCGTAGTAACATCTCCAAAGTCTCCAGCAGACATTGTCCCCAAAGTCCCCTGCGGGTAAGGTAACTAACTCCTGCTTCTCGGCCCGAGAGCCCCCCACCTCCCCTTTCCCCAGTTCCGTCTAGGCAAATTCACGTTCTGGAGATTGCCTGGTGGGCTACCAGGGAGGTGCCGGAGCGCGGGTTCCATTTCTGAACTGGAGACTGGGCTCCAAGGAAAGCTGAAATCCGAACACTTCCCAAATCCCTCTGAGCTTTGCCACGCGGCGTCATTCAAGCAAGCTTCATGCTATCTATTAAAAACCAGCTTCAACAATAAAAAATAAAAAGCCCTCCCCAGAGAAGCCCTATACTCATTAAAACTCACAGCTCCTCGGTGCCAGAGAGGCGCTTGCTGTTACAGTGGTGGGGGAGATGGATTTCACAGACTGGAAAGTATTTGGGAGTTGGAAAAAAGAGCCCTGCAAAATAAGCTGGCGAGCTAGACACCAAATGTGCTTTGCAGTTGCCCATGGATTTTGGTTTTTCCATAAAGTTCGTTTTGAGCTCCAGATTCTTTGGAAGAAAAAATGAGATCTTTTTCTTGCAGATTTATGTGAAGGTGGACTGAAAATACATTTCAATGTTAAGAAATGGAGTTTCTTTTGTTACCTCTGGTGGCTGTAAACACCAGCCCAGAGATTCAAAGACAATGTCCGAAAACAATCAGAGGTACCCTTACTATAACTGCCTCCCCACCCCAGTGGGAAGAATGTTCTAGACTTGGCAAAATGGACAGAGTCCCAATATCCTTGAATAGGATGAAAACTCTTGAAGAAAACATTCATTTCCCTTCAAATTAATCTGAACTGAATTGAACTTTTTTAAAGTTCCAAACTTATTTTGGTGATAAGAGAGATTTAAATGAATGGTTCTAGTTTTCTCTCAGAGGAGGAAAAAGGTGGTAAAAAGAGCTCAGACATTCTTAGGAAAAAGGTGGGAAATATTTGTACCTCCATATATTAAAATGTATTCAAAGGCAAATTAATAATAGCTGGATTGTAAAGGCCAAATGATAATAGGTGAACAGATCAGAAAGTCTAGAAATAGATCCAAGGACATACAAGAAGTGGAAGTTGAATTCAGTGGAGAATTAATTCATTATTAAAAACAATGATTCTTGGATTGGTAACATAGGAAAATGAATACTTAACTCTACATTTTATACTATGTACCGAAATTAATTCTAGAAGGAATGGAAAATGACATGTTTAAAATGAAATAATGAAAGAATTAGAATAAAATCAAAATAAATATTTGGGTTTTTTTGTATTTGTTTTGGGGTTATATCCAGCAATACTCAGAGCACACTCTTGGCTCTGTGATCAGGGAGGGGGTTGAACTGGGCCCAACATGGCAAGCAAGACCCTCACCCACACCATTCTCTCTCCAGCTCCTACGTGTAAAGCAGGTCAGAAACAATAAAGAAGATAATAATAATGACAATATTTGGGAATATTTAGAACTTATATTTTTATAAATGAAAATTGCCATAATTTAAAATTATTAATAAATTACAAAAACTTTCACAACATAAATTACTCTTCAAAGATTGATCTTAATCTATAAAAGCTTTTTTAAAAGGGTCATACTAAGAGAAAATTGGTTTGCTACATACATAATACACAAAAACTTTCTATGAATTAGTAAGCAAACTGAAATGTTCAACTTCACTAGTAATCAAAGAAATGAAAATGTCAACAATAATGTAAATCTGGTAAAGATTTTTAAAGAATTACAGTATTTAGTATTGACCAACAGAACTTTCTGTGATGAGGGGTATCATCTACAATTCCATTGTCCAGTTTACTAACTTGAAATGTGCCTAGTGTGATCAAGGATACAAGCCTTTCATTTTATTTAAGTTTAACATAAGTAGTTCTATACTCACTGTATTGGATGGTGGGAATAAAAAGATAATAACAAACTGTATCAAATGCTTTTAAAAAATTCTACTTATCTGTCCAGCAATTTCATGTACTAAAGAAAAAACTGCAAGCTAGCCACCAGCAAGTGCCTCTCTATATATTCATGGCTGTGCTTGGTTATAATAAAAATGAAAATTATCTAACTATCCAGTGTCATGGAATTTATTAATCCATGATAGATGCATAATTAAGGATATGAATATTTTATAATTTTATATTCTATAAGATAATTTGGGAAGAATAGTTAATCCTCATAATATACTCTTGGGAGAAAATATAATTCCCAAACTTTATATGCATTCTGATCCTTTCTCTGTAAGAAAGTTAAACACATACAAGTTTATGTCTTTGTTTCAGTTATATAATAGCATTTCTCTCTGGAAAAGAGGAATTTTAATTTAAAATTTTTTGCCTTTCTGAATTTTCAAATTTTCTATAGAGAACATTATTTTTCTATATTCTACAATAAAGGAGTTACTTTGAGGTTTTAAAAAGTTATTTAAGAGTGAGGAGGGTCTCATACCAGTGTGCTGACTCTAAGCACACAACTATAGAGGACTCTGCTTCTTGTCTGGAGTAAATTTCTAATTGTACCATAGGGTCATTGTGGTACATTGAAGATGCAAAAATGCTCAGAAGGGAAAAGAAAAAACAATGGGGAACCCTTTATAGGCACCACCTACCTTTACATTTGGGTGGACTCTTCTGACTTTCTTTAATTGTCTTATTACTTGAAGAGAGGAACATTTTTGTGCTGAATGAAAAGCTTACTAGAACTTGGTATGATAGCATGCACACCTCCAGCTTGCCATCTTGAGCTAGACTAATTTATGTATTTGTTGAGCCCAGAGGTGGGGGATGGTTCAAAAGGCAGTGATGTCAGGAAAGTCCCTAGTGGTCCCTTAAGACTGGTCTTCTGTCCTAGAAAGGACCTCCACTTACAGGAGTATTCAACACCCAACCACAGCTGACTGGAAAGGAAATGAGGAAATGAATCCTAACGTGTTCTTCCTTTAGTTTTCTAAGATCCTTTAACTTCAAGATACTATCTATAGGCTTGAAACCATTAGCTAACAGGGCACGGAACTCCTTTCTCACCTTCTCCCCAGTGTATACTTCCTACATCTCTTCTTTCCGATGACATTAAATCTCAGTTGATTTCAGCTTTAAGCAGGTTGCATCTCTGGCCCAGAGGGAACCCAGATTATACATTTAATGGAATGTCATGTTTTCTCAACCAGGGCCAAAGATTTCATAATGATAACCTAGACTACCACAGTAACACAATAGGGCCTGATTTGTGGCTTTGGTGACGGGGTTGGTGGACCTGGCTTCACAGGCTTTATATCGGTAGAATTTCTGTGCATTTAAACATGCTCTTCTGGTTCTAGTCAGGAAAAGTGGATTGCTGGGAATTCAATCAGGGATTGAAAGTAAGATTTGGAAGACCACTGCCTCCAGAAAAACAATCAAGGAGTAGTTGGTCTCCTTGAAGACTTCCAGGGTCCTCAAAGATTACCACACCCCATGGACCAACCCACAAACATCAGTGTGCCTTTCTTCTGCCATAGCACTCTTCCATTATTACAGTATATATTTAGGTATCAAATATCATTGTGTTTTATAGAGAGCTATTTAACTATTTCCAATTACAGGATTTCCTATCATGAATCTTGGGAAAGTTGACTATACATTTTTGTGCCCTCAAGACTTCAAAAATAGAATGGTGAAATAGAGAGCAAGAGTTGAGGACAAAGTGGACAACAGTACCAAATAGCTTTATTTATTTCTCAAAACTGTAGTCTGCCACCCAATAAATGCTTATATTTATATGGGCCTTTCACATTCTCCCCGTGTGCTCCACCTGCAGATCATCTCCATAGCTCTTTTCTTCTTTTTCACTCACTACCAATTTTATCCTTTTTCCTAATGCTGGGGGATCCCTTTTACCATTTATCCAGATTGTGACTCCAGTACCCACAATAAGACAATGTTGATGAGCTGTAGAACCATTACTACGTGTTTACTCCAGGTCTGTGGTCACTAAACAGATATTTTTACAGCATTAGACTGGGAACTTCAGCACCAGGTAAAGTAATTTTGTTTTCCTGAGCAAATGTCTTCTGGGTTCCCAGTTACCAATTTATAAAAGAAATCTGAACTAAAGCCTCCCACCTCTTTTGTTATTTCATAATGGCCTTTTAGATAACCTTGTTTGGTAGCTAGGGCAAGCACTAGTTGCCTCATTTGCAGTTAGATAACTGTTAAAACTTTGTTCAGCCCATTTGATTTAATGGCTTGCCAAAGAA